CTTCAAATTATAACTGTACCACTACACAAGAAGCAGTCAAGTAAGTGATTACACAAATAATCATATCATGAAAACCAACAGTTAGTTGCTATTTATAATAAATGTTTTTAATTATTTTAATTTCCTCTACCTTGTTGTTTCCTAATTAAATCTTTATAGCATCAGTTTTAAAAGAGAGAGTTTTCTTACCTTTAATGCTGTGAAGTTGACTGCTTGCCTGCTATCTGTCTTTCTGCAAATCAGTGATCTACACTTTTAAAAAATGCTTCTTTTTGTTTACTGTAACCAAGGGTTAAAAACATTCTGAAAAGTCCAGTATTTATTCAAAAGAAAATAAAAATAGATAGCATTTTGTGTCCTAATACATTCTGGATATCTTGCCTCATGACAGCTCGCTGCCATTACAGAAGAGATAAACAACTGCATAGTAACGACCAGTGGTGGGCTATGATGGCCTTCAAAGCCTTCTCTGCTGGCCTAAAATCAATCAGAAACACTAACATACATTCTCAACCTAAACTTTAATTTACAACAAAATGCAAGAGAAAAATCTTTGCTGCAATCAACTTTTCCTAACCCATTTAACAGTACTGTCTCTGTAAAGTGCCTTAGGATGAATTATGTCATTAATTTGCACTATATAAATGAACTGAATTGAATTGCAATTCAGTAATTAACAGTCTCAATGTCACATTATACATATATGTATTTTTTATACAGTTAGATATGTCAATATATTCATTAGTTTTATTTTGGGCATTGTCCCTTTCATATAGGAAACCACTAAGGTGTGTTTGCCCCCACAACAACAGATATACGGTTTATTTTTTATTTCACGCAGCCATGGTTGCCAGGCGACAGTTTTTTGTTGTTGTTGTTGTGGTAAAGGAAATAAAGGATAGTAAATTTATAGTGCACACAACTGCGACCCTCCAGGGATTGAACTTCGGTGGAGTCCAGTCAGCCCCTGAGGACACCGAGATGAAAAAGTCTGGGTTCACACGTTTCCTACAGAGCAACCAGGCCATGAATGCAGCAAAGACAAGGCTACAGAGTTTGGTACGGACAGCTTCCAGAGATTATGTTGATGGTTTTAGTTCCTTGTCCTGTTTATCTGACCAAAACTTTCAGTTTCTCTTCCGTTCGGCTAGTTTACGTTTCTCCTAAAACCTGAAACATTAAATGGAACATATTCCTCAATCTCTGACTGCGTGTTCAACGCCCCCTGGGGGACAACGAAGATTTTTAAAGCTAAAATATAAATAATTGTATTTTAAAAAGGTATTAAACAAATTTGTAGTAGATCATTACTAAAAAAATAATTTCATTGAAAAAAAACGAAATAAAATAAGCTACGTTTAAAGGCAAAACATGTAACAACATCAACCAAGATTCGCTGTCATTTTTATGACTTTTTTGTAGTTCTTGAACGCATCGCCGAAAGGAACTATGGGAAAGAGAAAACATGGCGGGCTGTTCAAACTCTGCGGAATATTTTAAACTAAAATTTATTTGAGTGACTGAACGTAGTTTTATCCGCAGTTTACGTTTGGTTCGGTGATGAACGGGGGCCGAAGGAGGTTCCAGCCTCCGGCAGGCGAGGAGTCTCCGGCGGCCAGACCTCTGAGAAGAAGCCGCCTTAGCCGGAGCTTCAGGCAGAGCCAGGTGGATCCTGCCCGGAGCCCAGGAGAACCAGGTCCGGCCCAGACCTACAAACGGAACCAGACTGCTCCGTTGGAGGTCCCAGAGTCTACCGGGAACCAGAAAGAACCAGGTCTGAGTCACATGTTTGGTTCGGGTCGCAGTTCAGCGGGTCTGTTTCAGGCTCCCGCCTGATTACACTCAGAAATGTTTTGGTTTGGAGTTTAGTCCAAATTTCTCCACTCATGAACTGGTTCTGATACAGAAAGCGGTGTTTTTACAACCAGGGATGCTTCGACTGCTATTCGGCATCAGACTGATTCCGATGGAGCGGAAATTAATAATATAATATAATATAATTTAAGACCTCAGATTGGTCCAGTTAATGCCAGCTCATGAAGGTGAGATGATGATGTGTTTAATGAAAGCAGGACATCATCTGCAGATGAAAGCAGTGATGAGACGGTTCTGGGTTCTGCTGAGCAGCCGGACTTCGGGTTCAGGTTGATGTTTTGGATCAAACTCTGTGCATCTCCTCTCTTCCAGAGTTTAAGACCCCCACCAGAATCTCCAGATCCAAAACGGCCCCTGTTCCCAGCGCAGAGTCTCCCCACAATGACTCGGACTTCCAGCAGGACATCATCTGGGACGCCACTTCTCCATCGCCCCACAAACCCGGTAAACCTCTAACAGACACCCCCATGCTGCTTTCTTCAGATCTGTATCATGTAATATTCTCCTTGTGGTGTGTTCAGGTAAAAGAGGAAAAAAGGCCGCTGCTGGAGCAGTTACCATCTCTGAGATTGTCAGGAGGATCGCTCCGAAGGTCAGAGGCTCTCTGCTCGGGTCGGGTGGAACCAGCTGCTGAAATCCAGCTGATGTTCTGTTTGTGTTTATGCAGCACGGCAGGCCGCAGGTCACAGAGCCCACCTTACAGCAGTGCCATTCCCTGCACTCCAGATGTTCAGGGTCCGAAACCCAAAAAGAAATCCCCGAGGTGGGTACAGTTTGGACCAGAAGGTCGGGTTCTGATTGCTTTATCTTTTAAGCTTTTTTATTGTCATTACACTGTCACAACGAACACAGAGCAAGGAACAAAATTAACACTGCATTTAACCCATTCCCTTGGGAAGCAGTTGGGCTGCCATTGTGTGGCGCCCGGGGAGCAGTGTGGGGTTAAGGGTCTTGCTCAGGGACCCAGAGTGCAGCTTGTGGAGATCAAACCGAGTATTTGCAACCTTCTCATAACACAAGCCCACTGCTATAATCAGCATTGGGCTGCAACTTTCAGCAATCCCTGATTGCTGAAAGTTGTTTAATCTGTTCCAAATAAATGACTTTTTCCAGAAACTGAAACTCTGAAAACCGCCTCAACAAAAATAAAGGTTTTGAGAGTGATTGATTAATATGTGTGCAAGATCCAAGCTATTTTTAGTTTGCTTTTTTTTTTTTTTTTTTTTTTTTTTTTTTTTTTTTGTAGATTTTACCTTTATTTTTATTTTTCTTTGAATGAGTTTCATTTCAAATGTATGTTGACATAAATTTTTTAATTCTCTTTTTCCTGAATACATTTTTCGGATTTTATTTTTCGAAGTTCTTTTCAGATTTTTTTTTTTTTGGGGGGGTGTTTATGAATTACATTCTTTTCGAATTTCAATTCTCAGATTTCACCTTGTCCACTTCCGGGTGGTCTGTGTTTGGATCAATAGAAATGCTGTTGCTAGCATCCGAGCAGAGCAGCTCTTTTTCTGTTGGTCCACCTCAGACTGCTCTGAAGTATAGAGGGCGAAATATTTACCCATACCAAAAAAAATGGAAAGTCCAAAAACAGTCGAAGAAAAAAAATCTGGAGGAAAATGAAATGAATAAAATTAAAATATACCAAAAACAAAACATGAAAAAGCTGAAAAATCATTAAAAAAAAAATGTCAAAAGGAAAAAAAAAACTGAATCTAAAAAATAAAAAACTGAAAAAAATAATATCAATAAATTAAAAAGGCAGGCTGTAAAAATGTTTATACAATTTATTCACTCAAAACTTTTTTTTTTTTTATTTGGAGAATTTTTCAAGTTTGATTTTTGAAATGCATTTTCTTCAAATGTAGTTTTTTTTAAACATGTCTTTGCTTCACTAATATTGGAACAAATTTCTCTCCATAGATTGTTAGGTGATGTTTTGTATGGAAATTGACCTGCAGGAGAAAAAGTTTGACGTTTCACAGAATCTTTTATCCGATTGTAACACGAGTCTTTGTTTCTGCAGAACCAACGGGGTGGAGGACCTGCTGCGACTCGCCAGGCAGTTTGATCTAAATATGTTCCACCAGGATGAAGAGGAGGAGGATGAAGATGAGAGCAGTAGGCAAGATGAAAGTTGTTTCCCTGGGAACCTTCAGCCGGCCACGAACATGGCGGCTGGATCAGAACCCCAGCCTCCACCGGATCGGCTGCTGGTAGACGACTTGGACTTCCTGTTTGACGGTCCGACCCAGAGGCTGAGCGGAGACCTGAGTCAGGCTCCGTCTCAGACCCGATCTGCTTCGGCTTCCGTGGAGGTCAACAGGAAACCATCCGTGTCTGGTTCTGGTTCTGCTACTGGCAAAAACAAACAGGACTCTGTCCCGATCGAGTTTGAGGACGACTGGGATAACGACGACTTGCTAAATGACTCACTGGTTCTGGAGATGACCCAGAATCCTTTGAGCTTCATGGTTCCGGAGCTCTGTTCTACCCAGAAACCGGCAGGTTCTGCCAGAGCTCCAGAAAGAGCCGCCCCGGGTCAGAGTTCATTGGGCCGGGTCACTCCCAGGCTGGTCTCCCTTGATAAGAGCTCAGCGGGTCGGGTCGGCCCACCAGCTGGATCCCGAGTTGAGAAGGAAAATCTGAGACCAGCCGCGGCTTTTAAACCGAACCGGACCTTCGGTTCTCCAAGGAAGAGCATTGAAGCGAACACGTCATCAGCCCAGCAGGTGGGTTCTGGTTCTAAAAACCAGAACCGGTTCCGGTCTCTCTCTGGACCTCAGCTCACGGGTCCAACAAGCAGCTTTAAACAAGAACCACAAAGAACCCAGAACAATCTGAGGACCCCTGCAGGAACCGCGGAAACCCTGGGGTCCAACCAGGTGGACTTCCTGGACGACGACCTGGACTCTCTGTTCTCATCCGAGCCGGTCTGGGACGACCCGGCTGACGACGACCTGCTGTGTGAAATGTGTGACGATCTGGAGAACCAGATCCTGATCCAGGTCCAGCTTAAAACCGAGCCCAGCACCAGACAGGCTCCAGTACCGGCGCTGCAGCCGACCCACAGAACCTGGGAGAACCGGGACCGTTTGGACACGGCAGGCAGAGCAGTTGGCAGCTCTTTGGCTGCTGGAGTGAAGCAGCCAATCAGATTCTCCCAACCTAAACCTGCTGCAGACACTGCGTTCAGGAGCGTCCAATCAGAACCACCTGGGGCGGGGCCACCCCCCAACACCCAGCACTACACCTTCAAGAAGCCCAGCAACCTGGTTTCCATAGCAACAGTAAAAGGTGAGAACACTCTTTTCCCCCTGGAAGTCTGTGCAGAGCAGTGTGCAACCACTGGTGAACTGGGACAGAACCGGGTCAGTACGTACAGGTTCTGCAATGTCACTGTTTCTGGTTCCATCCAGAGTTTCTCTGACAGATCGCTACGTCCTATAATGGGTTGTTTCTTTGGTTCACTTTAGTTTTGCTCAGGTTGTTGGAAATTTAAATTCTTCTGTGACTTTGCTTTTGTTTTTT